TACTGGTATGAGAATGGAGTTCACACTGCTTATGTAGTCAGACCTACAAGATGCAGACCCTTGAAGATGTGGTCTTGTGTTCATCCCAATTTCATCCATTTTTTCCCAACTGAAAAAAAACCTATCACTTGTACCTTCTTTCCTTTCACCTTCTTTATTCTGATCAAAAACATTAGCTATAAATAACTGTAGAAAATCTTTTTTTTTTTTTTTTAACTGAGCTAAATGCTTTGGACTGTAATATACCAATATTCTGCTGTCTTGTTTTCTTGTTTCCTTATTAGGTAATTTGATTTGAAATTGATACTACACCTGATGGGTTATTAACAAGATCTAGACTTCAAAAAAATGAAAGATGTGAGGTCCATGTGTAGGGTGAAGCATCAGGCTGGTGAGAAGATTCTGTCCTATAGTTAGGGCCATATTTACTCCTTTATAGCCATGTGTCACAAGCCTTGAGAAAAGAAGAAATGACTTCAAAACCAAGAGACAAAAAATACTGAAAACCTTAGATCCAAATTTTAAAAATAAAATCTGTAGATTAACGATCTGATCATTGCTAAAATGAAACTTTTTACCTAAAGTATTGCTGTAGTCCTGTTTTTAAAATCCAAGAATTTTAGTCTTCCATTATGGATCTGGGGACATAAAGTATTTGTATCGATATGTGAAAAACATGTTGGGCAGTTAGAGCACTTAGTGCCAAATGGTATGAGTGATGAGCACTATAGCGGGTACATCCTGGCCATTGACATGGCTGGTCCATGGTTGACCAGGAAGGATCAAATGTCATGTGGAGACATTCGTGGTTCTCAGAATCAGGCTGCTTCGCTGAGTGAACCTGATTAGTTTATTTGCTGCATTTAGTTGAAGATATGCCTCTAACTTGAAACTGCAGAGACAGTATAAAACAGATAACTTTAAAATAATATCAAATACAAATAAATATAGAAATGAGAGATGCTTGTCCTGTCTCTGCAGTCTGAAGTTGCATGTAACAGGGCTCTGGGGTGTTCTCCATTTCTAACTAAGCAGACCTCAGTCTCAGTCATCTGTAGTCTCCCTTTTACTTGGCCTCTGGCTTCTCTTTAGACAGTGCTTTCCGCCTCTTTCACACCAATTCATTCCCTGGTGGGAAACAGTTTTAGAGAAGTTAAAACGAGTATTTTTCACTCTCCAAAACCACTCCTTATTTTATAGTGGTTTGCGGGAAGGGACTCAAAAACCCAAGAGTTGAGTGGGCCCCTTGTAGGGCCCCTTGTAGTGCCCGCTTCCCCACTAGGTGGGTTGGGTGTTCCACTGATAACCCGTCTGTTATCAGTGTAGTAGCAGGCATTGTGAGAGCCTGCATTCAGCTTCAGTGAATTTTTTTTGAAAACAATTGAGTTTACCCATTTCATGATGGGTGATTTACAAGCACACCTCCCAACACCTAGCTGAATGTTCAGTTTTTGACCAAAAACGTCATAACTCCTGTGCCCCACCTTCCCTATTCACTCAGTCTGCTGCGAGTGCCTTTGTTTCCCCCGATGAAAAAGGTCCTCCAACGGAAACATTGTGCCACCGTGAAAGAGATGAAAGAAAAACAGAAGTACTAAAGGGCATTAAAACCAACAAGTTCCAAAACTCTTCTAAGCAGTCGGAACAAAGTCTGGATAGGTATATTGCATCATATGGAGAGTACTTTGAAAGTGACTGAAGCTTAAACATGTAATAGAGGAATTGTGATCAAGATGGAGGTGTAGGTAAACACAGCTAGCTGCCTCACACAACCACATCTAAATTACAGCTAAACTGTAGAAGAACCACCCCTCATAACTGTTAGAAATCAAGTTGAATGGAGGTCTGACAACGATGGAATTAGACCACATCCATCCGGATTGGCAGGCAGAGTGCAGACATGGAATGGGCTGGTGTCTCAACCACGTGTGGTGGATAAAAATTTGGAGGGATATCTCAGGAGCAAGAAGTCCCAGCGCCACACCAGGCACCCCAGCCCTGGGTTCCAGTGCCAGGAAGTCCCCATAAGTTCTGGCTGTAAAAACCAGTGGGGGTTCAGCCAGTGGAAGGACTGCTGGATTCCCAAGTGGTTCCTCTTAAAAGACCTGCATATTTAGACACTCTCCCTCTGAGTACCAGCACTGCGATAGCTTGAAAGGCACCAGTGGCATATGGGGAGGAATTGAAGTGTCTGGCATTCGAATGAAAACTGGGGGACGGCTTTCTCCCAGACAGAACAGCCAGCAAAGACCCTTGTTTCTTTTCTGAACCCTACCCCCGCAGAGCCAGCAGGCACGAACCATATCTGAGACTCCATCAACCTGGCTAACAGTGTTTGCCCAGGCCTGGTGCTTTCCTGAGGCTCTGCTCAACCCAACTCATGGGCCCACGCAAGCTGTTAACAGTGGCTTTTCCATGTGAATTCCTAGTCTTGGCTCAACTTGCACATCTTTATTCACACAAGCAACAGCTGGCCTCGGCGAGCCCTCAGTCCCTGTACCTCTTGCTAAGTGGCGCAGGCCCAGCACTAGCAGCAGCCAGCCTATGTTCCTGTCTTGACTTCACCTGGGAACCTCTAAGCCCCGTACAAGGAGCACTGCAGATTGCTTTGTAGCTCGTGCAGGGTGGACCTGGGCAGAATATAAGTGCTGGCTGACCTTGGCCTGTGCCACTGAGAAACCCCAGAGCCAACGCACCCAGTGGACAGCTACAGAGCACCACCAGTCTGCCTCTGCATGGCTGACCCTGCACAGAGAGAGGAGGTTGGTGGTCAGTGGTCACAGCCAGTCCTTGCTGAGTGGCCTGGGTAAATCCCTTCCATTGATCTGCCAAAACAACCAAGGCTCAACTGCAGGAGAGGGGTGTACTCAGCCCACACAGAAGGCACACCTTGAGTACCCAGCTTGGGTGATAGGGGAGGCTGTGCCACTGGACCCTATAGGACACCTACTACATCAGGCCACACTCCCAAGACACGGAGTCAAAATAGCCCTCCCTAATACACAGAGACACAGGGAGGCTGCCAAAATAAGGAGACAGAAACATGGCCCAAATGAAAATACAGAACTCCAGAAAAAGAGCTAAATAAAATGGATATAAGCAATCTATCAGATGCAGAACTCAAAACCCTGGTTACTAAGGATGCTCAAGGAACTTAGTACCTTAACAGCATAAAAAAGATTTAGTCAGAAATAAATATACACCAACTGAAATAAAGAACTACTTACAGGGAAACAACAGTGGAGTGGATGAAGCCCGTAATCAAATCAGTGATATGGAACAGAAGGAAGCAAAAAACAACCAATCAGAACAAGAAAAAGGAAAAAAGAACCCCAAGAAATGAGGACAGTATAAGCAGCCTCTGGGAGAACTTCAAGAGGTCCAACATTTGCATCATAGGGGTGCCAGAAGAAGAGAAAGAGTAAGAAATTGGAAGTCTATTGAAAAACTAATGAAAGAAAACTTCCCCAATTTGATGAAGGAAATAGACATGCAAGTCCAGGAAGCACAGAGATTCCCAAACAAGATGAATGCAAAGAGGCCTACCCCAAGACATCATAATTGAAATGCCAAAGGTTAAAAAGAGAGAACTTTAAAAGCAGCAAGAGAATTTTAAAAGGAAGAGAAAAGCAGAGTTACCTACAAAGGAGTTCCCATGAGACTGTCAGCTGATTTTTCAGAACACTTTGTAGGTTAGAAGGGATTAGTAAGATATAACACAAAGCCATGAAAAGCAGGAACCTAGAGCCAGATTGCTGTACCCAGCAAAACAATCATTTAGAATCAAAGGGCAGATAAAGAGCTTCACAGACATGAAAAAAATAAAGGAGTTCATAACCAAACCATTATTAAATGAATTGTCAAAGGGACTTATTTAAGAAAAAGATTGAAAGTATGAACAATAAAATAGCAATAAATACATAACTGTCAACAATTGAATCTAAAAAACAAAGTAGGCAAACGAACAGAGATGGAATCATGGAAACAGTGCAAAACAGCGTTTTGATGGTTGCCAGGTGGGAGGGTGGTTTGGACAACTGGGTGAAGAAGTGAGGGTTTTAAGAAATACTAATTAGTCACACAATAGCCAGGGGACTGTATAAAGTACGATACAGGAAATGGAGGAGCTAGAGAACTTACATTCATGACCCATGGACATGAACAAAGCAGGGGGGTGCTGGGTGGTGTAGGGCAAAGGGAAAATTGGGACAAATGTTAATAGCGTAATAAAATATAATTTAAAAATAAAAATGTAAGAATACACAATTTTTTAATAAATCCTGGCTTTGGGGTTCCCCCTCAGATGCCTCTGCTTGCTGTGACCTTTTTTTCAAAGGCAGAGAAAACAGAAATGCTATTTGATTTTTTTTTAAACGGCAATTTGATTCTAGTAATTTTGTACCTGACATCATCTCCATTAAACCAGTTTTATTCCTGAGATGAAGGTACAGTGTAAAACATTAGCATCATAGGTTCAAACCAGATGACAAAGGTCTTCTAAAATGACAAATAATAAAAATTCCGCCAAAAGCACCATAACAGGTTATGAAACTCCCTAATAGCTACAGCCCTAGGAAATACTTAATTCAAAACAATATTCAGTCTTTTATGTTACAGGAAAAAAGATCAGTAAATTTTTTACTTTATGCCGCCTCAAAAGCCTGAGAAAATGACGTTTTTACACTAGGTTTCTACTTTCATTGTTACCAGTTAAAACCCATATGGCTTTTAATCTTTACTTACCAAAAAAGGGGAGGTAAAGGGTTTCCCTCAAGTCTTTTGAGGAACATTCCCCAAAAAAATCTTAAGTCTGCATTAAGTTTTGCAAAGATAATATTAGGCACATCAGACCAGATTTCAATTGCATTGAGATTTCAACACTACATCCTGGCAAAAATAAGTGATTCACAAGCTTCCACTAGTGGTGTGAGAGGCGGGTGGGAGGACTTGTATGTAGATATGGAGATACATCACAAGGGTCAGTTGTGTGATCTTGCTAGTGAAACTGCCAATACTTTTATTTAAATTGAAAACACTTGAGTTTTCTAGATAATCTATTTACATTTAAGAATTCAGCCATCCATGGTTTCAATGAACACCTATTTCAGAAATGTCTACCTTGTTTCTATTCTGATAGTGGTGTTTTTATTGGGGGAGAGCTAGCTAGCCTACTTTAAAGAGGAAGTATTATATTTTACAGCTCCTGGGAAGATCTGGGTATGAAATATCATTATTCTTTCTGGACTTCCACATGTTTTCATTGTACCCTTTCCAACTATTTTGCCTCCATGGCAGAGAACTTCTTAACATCCTATTTCTCCTTCCACTTCGAATAATTGAGGACAGGCTAGTGCCTACTTTGTGGGAAGGCTCTTGAGCAGAGAGGAATGAATTAAACTTTGGATTAAACCTGAATCCATGCCACCTCTTTGAGTAGTGATAGCGTAAATGAGATAATCTAGAATCTCTCTTTCCCAGGAGTTTGAACTGTTCATTTTCCAACCTAGAACAGACAGGAGACAGACTCTCCAGTCTGTATATCTGCTGCCCTGTTGAACCCACATTAAAGAAAGAAGGAGACTCTCCAGCACCACTCCGTTCAGGCAATGATGATTGAACCGATTTTTTCTCCGTTACTGCACCAGGACCAAACATCTCAACTGGTGGCAAAAACTGAGCACTGTGAGGTTTGCTTGCTTCTATTTGTGTGAGATTTAGGTAGCCTGGGGCTTCCAGCACGTTGATTTGGGACCCTGGGCTCAGACTTGTTCTATCAGTGAATGAATCCACGCGCCCCTCATAGCCTAGATCAGCTGGTGCTGAGCACTGGTGCTGAGGCCAAGGCCGTTTGCACTCTCCATGATTCTCCTTATCATCCCCACCATCTTCTTGCCCTCCTTGAAAAGAGTTCTCTGTCCAATCTGATTCCTCACTAACGTTTACAGCTTTGTTCATGTCCCTCAGGAATACCACAATAACAGTGATGTTATCGCTTGACCCAGCATCACGAGCTGACGCCACTAATTTGTGGGCAACCATGCTGCTGTCTCCATTATTCTCCTTCAGGTGGTCAGATACAACTTTCACTGCCTCATCAGGGTTCACGGTGTCATAGAAGCCATCGCAGGCCAGAATGAGGTAGTCTTCAGTTCCATCCAACACCGTAGAGGCAGAATCTGCATCCCCACAGATGTATGGCTTATGTTCAGCATCTCCTGTGGGAATCAGAATGGAGGTCAGATTTTGGTTTACGTTGAATGTAAGAATGGGTTTGGCCAATGCTATGACCACACTCTGCTGCACTGGGATCTGAATTCACTGGTAAGAATTTGTAAACTAGTTTTAGATAAAATATTTGAATTCTCTGTTAATCAGATGCTGCTTAGTCCTTAAATAATTGCCATTAATTGAGCTTAATTTCCTGTCTGGCTTAGACTAAATCTTGTGCACTAATCTAAGTTTGTTGCTGTAACTGAAAATTGGTCCTATGTAGGAAAACCTTGTTGATATAATAGATTTGTTCTTTTACTGGTGGTCAGGTTTGAGTCAACTGAGACTTATTTCTTAAGTCCACATTGAAAAACAAACCAAAGTTCTTTCTGATCACTCTTCATTAAACACTTAATTCTTGTTCTGTCCTTGTTTAGAAATAAAGTTTCATGCTGCGAACACAGAGGAAAACTTGAGTCACAAGGGATTTTAAAAAATGAAGTCCAACTCCCACAAGCCAGGAAAAGTTATCCCTATCTTCAGATAAGGGAACTAGAATGTTCGTGTCTTGGTTCCCAGCCCAAATTGCTTTCTATATTTTAAATTGTTTTGCTTATTTTAGAGAACAGTCCTCATATGTTTGTGGTCATCCCCTTTTCTGTCTTTATTGCTATTGTTCATTCTCCACTTGTGAACAACTGTGAGCACCCCCAAAGGCCTATTGGCTTAACTGATCCACCTACAGAATGACGTTTGAGCTAGGCATTATCACCATAGGAGGGCCAAAGACAGGCAACTGTCAGGGTGTAATATGTAGTTGAATATCTGGTGCTGGGAGTAGAGACAGACTGGAGACCTTGGACCCACGCTAAGCTAGGTTTCTATCACCAGAGTACTAAGTAACTCATCTACAATGCAGTTTAGAGCTTCCAGATTCAGGGCACTTCCAAATCCATTGTTTTCCTTTAGGTATTTGGAGAGAAAATAGCAAAAGGGTCCTCAGCCTACTGGGTAACCAAACAGCTTAGTACTACAACAAGGGATATTCATTTCATCACATAAAAAAAAAGAACAACACAGTATTAAGCAGTAATTCCTAGACTAGGGTATAACAACTCATCGGTAAACAATAGTTTTTAAAAATTTACAAAGTGTGTTTTATCATTTGTAGAATAGTGACTGTACAGCATGGTAGTTTAAGGATGCCGGCACTGGAGTCAGAGCCTGGGCCCAAATCATAGTTCTTGTTAAAAAACCCGCATCAATTACTATCCTTTCCACTACACTAAAACTGAACTGCTTGACCAGGGGAAGATAAAATGAAGATAAATTACTTCAGTGATCTGGCTATATTATCACTGTTCCTGGTATCTGTTATAGGTTCTCTCCAACATTTCACATCCCTTTTAAATCCTCAAGTAGGTCCAGAAAGCGGCTTAGGAACCCTATGGATAACTGACAGAACCAACATGGGCCAAAAGCCCTCTCCAGTAGTTGCATGTGATACTCTGAACAATAAATAATATATTTACCTGCATTAGTTTATCTGCAAAAAACTATCTTGTTCATACAGTATCCAGAACCATCTTCAAGCATGGCTGTGATTTTGTCAACTTCTATATTATGATATTAGCCTGTTAAAGCTCATTAAAACGGCCAATCATGGGATTCAGTGCCCTCCACCAATCCACTTCAAATTTCCCCATCCACTACTCCACCTGACTATTATTATCATCATCATTATTTTCTGAATTCCAGCTCTAAAAATAAATGTGATCTGAGTCATACTGTTCTCAACAATCTTGTTTTAGTGCTTCAATTAAAAGGCTACTGCAACTGTTACTTTAGAACAGAACATACAAAGATTTGCACAGAGGAAATTGCTGCCAAAATTCTGGCTTTTTCACCTGCTCTACTGTTTCATGTCAAATTCATGACATTTCGCCCCCAAATTTGGTAGGAGGGCATGATTATCCATTTCTTGGTAGAAATGGCAACATCCTTTTGCCTTCAACCTCCTCTCTCCATATGCTGGGAAAGATCGTGCTTCTGTCAACTCTGGATCATAAATCTGAAAGGCTCATAGGGAGAAACATTTTAAAAACTTTTCATTTTAAAGATTTTGAGTGTCATTTAAGAGAGTTCAACTCTGCTTAGGAGTCCTTTTGTCTCTATTTAACCCTATATTCCATGAGCTTTCCAAATCTCACATTTTTCAACTCCCTCTTTTAATTAAACTACTGGATTAGGTAGATGGCCTAATTTCCTACTTCAAAGAAAATTTTATCTATCAGGCTTGAATTCCCTCAATTCCCCTCCACCCATCCCTATTTCTCCTTTTTTTAAGTCTGTAGAGGTTCTCCCATACCAGCTACTATTTCCCTCCTGTGTCTCTAGGACGCTGGTTTTTCTCTCTCCCATCTTCAATTTCTCTTCTACTTGCTCTCTTCTTGGATCCTACAAACATGGTCTGATCTAAAAATCTCATCCTAAAAACAATAAAAGCAACCCTTTCCCAAATCAGCTTTAACCTCAAGTCACTACACCGTTTCTCTCCACCACCAAATTGTCCAAGAAACCAAATGTACACATGCTACTTTGTTACTGTTCATTTTTTCTCACCTCATTGTTTTCTGGTTTTATACCTACTAATCCAAAACATTTCTCATTATAGCCCTGACCAGGTACCTCGGTTGGAGCATCATCCCATATACCAAGGTACTGCGTGTTCAATTCCTGGTCAAGGCACACCCCTAGGTTGTGGGTTGGATCCCCAGTTGGGGAGTGTACGAGAGGCAACCAATCGATGTTCCTCTCTCCTCCCCCCAAAAATATCAATAAACATATCCTTGGGTGAGGGTTAAAAAAAAAAGGCAATTATAGTTAAGTTCTCAATGGTGTTAATAGGTTCTGCGACTTTGAGTGAAATGACATAACAAAGCCAATTACCATAGGCTAACTGATATAAAACAGTTAAGTTCCCACAGCACCTCATCAATGTTAGAATGAAATGATACCAAACAAAATATTCAATGGCCTACTGTATTTCCTATTTTCAAAATTCCAGGTCTTTTTTTAATCTTCCTCACTTGATCTCCACAGCACTTGACCCTGTTGAGTACTTACTCCTAGAAACCTCTTCCCCTAGCATATGTGACACCCCACTTCTGTAACTCTGATCCCTCTTATCTTCCTTCACTGGCTCCTTCACTTGATAATAGCACTAACAATCAGTGTGTGCTAAGACAGTGCCAGACAGTTCTGAGTGTGGTGCGTGTACTGTGCCATTTAATACAAAAACTCCATGACTTGGCACATGACTTAGTAACAGTACTGTTACTGTTCACACCTTACATGGAACAAATAGACCCAGAGAAGTTCAGTGAATTTCCTAAGGCCCACAGCTTGTAAAGTGGCGGATACAAGATACAAACCCAGAGGGCTCAACTTCACGCTATTCTAACTTAAGTAATGAGGCTCTCCCTCTTCACACTGTATATTCTTCTTGGGCAATGTCATCCATGCACAGTTTAATTTTTTAAAAAATTATATAAATATATAAACTTCATAGATTGCTAACATTATTGCCAAAATGGATGAAGTCTCCTATCTCTAGCTCCAACTCAGAACTCTACTAAATAAGCTCCAGAGCTGTATGTCCATCTGCATATAAATCATCTCTTCCAAGACATCCCTCGGGTACCTAGACTACAAAATATGTCCAAAAGGAAATCATGTGCCCTCCTCCCAACCCCCAAATTGTTGCTGCTTTATTACAAATGCTTTATCATCTTCTCAATCACACAAGTCAGAAACCTGGAAGTTAGCTTTCCTCTTTACCCACAAACTGTCATTTCCGTCCCATCAACTTATACCCTTCTCTGTATCTTTTTAGCGCCTCATCTCTGTAACATACTGTATTAACAGCCTCCTGAATGAGCATTCATCCAGGCTTTCTACTGTAGTCTGTCTTCCAAACCACTACAAATACAAATACAAATCTGATCGTGTGGATCCCTCTACTTATCACCTGGTAAAGCCCAGACTACTTAACCCTTTCACGATCTGGCACTATCACTTACCTCTTACCACTCCCACCTCTCCCCCAGCCTCCTGTACTTGCTGCTCTTCCTAAAATACAACGTGCTCTTACAGACACCCATGTATTTGTATTCCTCTGTACCTGGAGTTTCCTCCCTGAACACCATCTTGCACATCCAACTCAAAAGTCCCTTCTCTGAAGTCTGCCTTATTCTCTCTTAGATTGTCAAGGACATTCTTCCCCTGTGTCAGTTTCCCCTTGTGTTACATTTTTAGAAACAAGAAAAGGCAAGTATCATCACTGAAGCTGATTCTATAACAGGCATTAAAGATACCTCTCAATACCCTGACAAAAATGGAAAGATCAAGAGGAAGAAGTGTTTGACTGGAGTTCTCAAAAAAATAATTCTACATGGGGTATGTTTTAAAAATGAGAAATTTCCCCTATTTGGCCTTATTCCAGAGTTACCAAGAACTCCATTGGTCATTAAGATAAAGCCAACTTTCAGTTTTTCAGGAGGTATTTGGAGAATTTTTCTCTTTCTCACCCTTCTGCTGCTCACATTTAGACCACTTCACAGCTTGCCAGCACCTTCCCTGAGTGGGAGGACCTCACATCAGCGGCAATACTGAATCAATCCTTTGAGATTTTGTTAATGTTCTGGAATTTTTTGATAATGATAAGCAAAATGTGGGGATCAGAGGTGAATTCCACATATCCATGTTACCCCTGTATCAAACTGCTTTATTTCAGAGGCAGTGCCTGAGGACTGTAATTAGTGTATGTGCACAATATGCACATTACCCATGCAGACACTCACATAGATTTATTTATTCTTTAAAAAAAGAGAAGGCAACAGAGAATGAAGCTAAGGCATGAAACCTCCACATTAAGCCCAGGCACCAAAGTGAAACACAGATAGACACTGAAATATAGGTCAGTTCTCTGAACTTACTCCCTTGCATTTTGTCCAATCATCTTAACTGTTTCCTCTCAAGTTTTAGAAAGAGTTTTGTTGACATTCCTCTTCTTTTGAAGAATTTAGGTCTCAGGACGCTGACTCTCTGAAACCAGGGTTATCTGACAAATTACTACATTCCTCATACAGAAAATTATTTTCATCTAAAAAGCACAATGTTTTTCCCATGGATTTGTTCTGTTGTTTGTCATTTTAGAATTCATAATAAATTGCATAAAGATTAAGCAAGGTAAAATATGGGGGGAAGCTTCCTTTCTTTGGAAAATACTGATTTAAACTTAATCTAACACAAAATAGAATGAAGGATCGCTGTGGTTTTAAGCAGATTTTTGTGCCAAAAATTAAAGGCTTTCATTAAAAAAAATAAAAAAGATAGAAACTAGCCCTGACTGGTGTGGCTCAGTGGGTTGGGCATTGTCCCGCAAACCAAAAGGTCACCAGGTCAAATATCAGTCAGGGCCACATGCCTGGCTTGCGGGCCAGTCCCTGATTTGGGGTGTGTGAGAGGCAACCAATTAATGCCTTCTTTCACACAGTGATGTGTCTCTCCATTTTTCCCTCCCCCTCTCTCTAAAAATAAATTTTAAATATTTAAATTAAAAAAAGGGTACCAACTAATAAGTTCAGTATTTCTTAATATAGTTCCCTTTTAATAATGAAATTTAAGCATAAAAATGAGGTTAATAAAATAATTAAAAGAGGCACCATCTGACTTATTTTAAATGATAATATTAACTAACATCTCAGGTTCCCTTGTGTCAGCGTTAATATAAGAAAATGAGCCAGAAGAGGACAGTTTAAAGAAACAAAAATTAATTAGTTTTTCCTACCAATAGCTCTGGAGACTGACAGACTTCCATTCACTCTCCAGGCACCAAACCAGACTACACAACCTCCAAGGGCCTCAATTCGCTGCTTTTCATCCTAAACAGCAATACAATAAAAAGAAGCAAAAAATTAGATTGAGAATTTTTTCATCTACCTTAACAGTAAACAGATATAATACTCATCAGCTTCCTGGAAAGGCTCTCTTTATTTCTCTTCTGAAAGGTGGGCATGGTTGCTGAGATAATGGTGATAATTACGGTAATTGAGTGAAACTTAATTAATAACTGCCTTTGTGGAACAGATCATACTTACCTCTCTGTCTGGTTTGTGTGGCTTCATTAGTTCAACAGCTTGGCCCTTTCTCACAAGCATAACCTGGGAATCACCCACCCAGGCCACATGTAGCATATTGCCTCTGATAAAAGTCACCACTCCTGTGGTCCCACATCTTAAGCTCTGAAAATAGTTTAAATAAAACTAGAGTCAGTAAAAATAAATAGATCTTAAAATCTCATTGAGAAGCAACTTATACTTGATACAGACCTTCTAGTTGGAAGCTAGATGATTAATTCGATTTCACAAATAAATAGCAATTCCTATTTCTAAATCTGAATTTCCCATTTTTATGCGCATGTATATATTTGTGCACACAGATCCATTAGATCTGAGCTATGCAAGGCAGGGACAAGTATTAATTCCACTCTATATACAGGTAAGAAAATTATGGCAGGTTATATGACTTGTCCAAGGGCAGGTATCTGATTAGTACACAAAAGAGAAATTCTTTTTCCTGCTAGTCCAGTGCTATATCAACCCTATGAATAAAGACTAAATATTGTGGTCTGTGTTTTGTTACTGACCTACTACTGTATGTTTGGGGGGGGGCAGTCCTCATTTTACAAAACAATACATAAAATAATATATAAAGTATTTGGTACACAAACGTTCCCATACTCTGGACAGTAAGACAGGAGCAAAGAGATAATAACATAGATTCCCTGAGCAAGTGCGAAAATGCTTATACCTTAAAACAAACAATAATTTTAGGGGCCTTTTGGAACACTGCAAAAAAACTAACAACCTAGAATTTCACTGTAATGGCTCAGTAGCACTGTACTTAATGCTCCATAGTACTATACTAAAATGACATCTCCCTTTGACATGAGTCACCATCAAATGAGCATGACTTTCTGTTACTAAGGACTTGTCCTAAATTAGAACCAGTGCGTCATGGGTGGTAAAAGGCCCCTTGTAACCAATGAGAAAAACAACTTCTCATTTTTCCCTATATAGGGAAAGTTTGTTATAAATCCTCACCCACCAATAAAATGCCTTCCCACACAGACTGTTCAAAAACTCAGCACCCTGGAACACACGATAAAGACACTTCAGTGCATATGCCCTGGAGAGAACAGGAGGCAGGGCTGCTTCACAACAGGAATAGCTACTTTCTTCCCAGCAGTTAGCAGCACATGGAAGCCCAAGAAGGAGAAAAGCAACTGTTGAGACAAACCTAAATTATTCAAGAGAACTACTGGCAGGATCGAGAGACACTAGCATTACTGGCAAAGCAAGTAAGGTGAACATGGTCAGAAAAAAAAAAAAAAAGCCATACTTTTGAGGACACAGAGGAAAAGGGATAGAATAGAGGATGAAGAAGGCAAGTGATTCCCTTAGTTTCCACGCTGGTGATTACAGATCACCTCTCAGGGGCCAGGTCTTTGTCCTCAGTCAGAATGATGACAGCCAGTAGCTCCAGGCAGACAGCCAAGCAGTGCTGGTTCTCAAGAGACTGGGAAGGTCTGAGGTCAACACTGTATTTTGGTCTCTAGCCCCACAACTCTATATGTAGACCTTGGTGGTTGCTGTTGGTAGATTTACATATTAATTTAAACCTGGGGTATAGGTGGTGAAATACAGAATATTTCTCTTGTCTAGTAACAAATGGTTCTGAATCATTGTTTCGTTAATTCCAAGCCCTACTACTGCTGTACAACGTAACTATGAGAGCAAAGAAATGGATTAAAATGATCACCCTGTTCTCTCCAAGTCCATTTTGAAAAGAGCTGATGTTTAGGTCACAGGGCAGGAATCTTATGTGTATATAATACTGCAATTACTTTTAAGAATTAAAAATTATTCTCTTTCTACTGGCTCCCAGTAAGAAATGAATATAGAGTACCATAGTTAATTATGTACCAATAACAAGACTTGTAATTATATTAAAATTTTTACTTTTAGATCTTAATATAGAGTCCCTATCATTCATTCAGAGTAAAACCTCAAGTCTGATTAACCTTAAGAAATTAGGACATGAGCTCTGACTTTTCTTCCTGTTTAAAGAAAATCAGTGCAAGGATCATCTAAGGATTCACTGTCTCCAAGCAAATTTTCCCTCAAGAGATTCATAGCAAAATAATGCCAACCCATTTAAAACTAAATGTATAGGAGTAATCCCAGCTTCTGGGGTTGTTTTTTTTTTAGACCGTTGTTTTAATCACCATATCCAGATTTTATCAGCAAGTCTGCTTAGAGAGATGGTCCTTGTGTGAACCTGGCAGGCAACAGTGAGTAAGAAAGACAAATCCAGCAATGGACTGCCTTTCTAGAAAATTAGAGCTTGGGAGTTTCTGTACAGTACATCATAGCACCCTACTAAAACTCTTCCTGAGGACAGAATTAGTACTACTAAAGAGTCCATTACTGTGGGTCAAGAACAAAGTTTGGAAAAGAACTTTAAATAATGCCTGCCTCTGCCCTGTCCAGTGTGGCTCAGTTGGTTTGAGCACTGTCCATAAACCAAAAGGTCGCAGGTTTGATTCCTGGTCAGGGCACATACCTAGGCTGCGGGTTCTTTCCCCAGTCAGGGTGCGTACAAGAAGGCAACTGATGGATGTTTCTCTCACACCAGTGTTCCTCTCCCTCCCTTCCCGTCTCTCTAAAAGTCAATAAGCATAGTCTTGGGTGAGGATAATAATAATACCTGTCCCAAAAGAAAAAATCCAAATATCCCTTTAAGCACAGACCAAGTTGAGCTCAGCTAGTGCAGTCATGCCTAGAATTTATGAGAAAAAGGCGTACCTCCCTGGCTGCTTTCTGCACAAACCGCTCATCAGTGACCCGGAAGGCCCGGCACAAGGCCTCAGCAGGATCATGGGGGAACATCTCCTGGCGTACCAAGTTAACATGCAGGTGGATGGAAGCATAAATGGCAGCATCCACTCCTCCGTGGCCATCAAACACTGCAAAGTAAGCTTGTTCTTCCTGGTCCTGTCAAAAGAAACACAGAACAGTTAAGGGGGTTAGGCATAGCATGATTCAATGAGCCAATCACCTGCACTGTGGCCCATCCTCTTCTACTGCATGTGTCACCAGATAATGAGACCAAATGTTTCCCTTTCTGACATGCCTGATCAACTGCTAAAATACCTGCAATATTAGGGCATCTGTGTTTACATCAGAGCACTGGAACACATCATGCCTAATTAGCTCAGGCTGAAGTGCCCTCTCTATGAAAGTTGTTGTCTTGCACCATGGAAACCACCCACATGCATTTGCTTCAAAATTGCTTACAATTTTGAGGGGAGAGGAAGGAAAGAGAAGGTATGGGGAAAAATTGAACAAAAGCTGTTCTGGATTGAGTTTTTTTCCAAAAAGAAAAGCATTTTAATCATAAAATTAGAAACTAAGAACAATAGAAAGTAATTGGCCTTCCAGCACATAACAAGGCCAATTATATTAGGTTGTTTAAAATAAAGAGATAATGAAAGCAGCACATACTTCTAAATTATAATATCTCCCTAATATATCATTCATGGTCACATGAATTCTCACCATAAATAACAGTCTAAACTAGTTGGCAAAGCGTGAACCACAACAGATGTCTAAAATGCCCTGTAACACTTTACCTTCTTTTATCTAAGATTCAGCTTCCTTTTTCCTTGCCCACCCACCCATTGCTTGAAGTGCTAAAACAAGTGCCAGAAGAAAGGCTTCAGAACCTGTGCTTTGTCCTGACAAAGGAATCCTAATCACAAGATCACATCAAAACCATTAAATAGTTTGCTTCTTAAACCCAAGTATTTAAATCAGATCTAGCTTGCTTAGGAGACCTATAACTCACTGAACTGAGTCCTGGACTCCCTTCAGGCAACAGTATACAATGATTTTCATTTGTAAGTCTTTCATAATCCTTGTGCTCTAGGAGCTTAGATGAGTCCAGGTCCTGTCATTCAAAGCATAACAAATATACAAAGTAAATCAAAAAGTAAATCAAAGTTAATTTTCTTGTGCTTGTTTTCCCATCTGTTAGATAGGGGTGAGTTGTTATATTGTGGGGATTTGAAAGGAATACCTAAACAACATGTATATTTGTACTTTGGAAAAGCCTTTTTAAAGTGTAGACTGCATTTACATATGTACTACATATAAATGTCCACAGGATAATGATAATATTATGAAGTCCATATCTACTACAGACATTACAACTAATCTGGCAATCTAATGAACACCATCTGTAATGCCACTGAAATTAACTAATTAAACAGAACTATCTAGAAAAACATTCCTGACATGTAGAATTTCTACCAGTACTGAAGAGTAGTACTCATTTTTAAACAACTCAATTGACAGGCTAAAAGTAAAACAGAAAAACAGGATATGTAAGAAATTTTTAAATGATGAATGAGCTGTTGCGGGATTATCACAAAGAGAGAGGAGGGCAAGAATACCTTTATTAGGACATGAGAATATAACTAAACAATGTGAGACCAATGGTGAGATTTTTAGTGTTAACATCAAAAGAAAGAGAAGGAGCCAAATGGATCTCTTAAATAGTATAGCCTCTTAAATTTAAAAAAAGAAACAACAAACAACTGATGTTTTCCCTGTTATAATGATGGTGTATAAAGGAAGTGTAAAGAATTAAGTAAATAAATATAATTCTACCATTCACAGATAACCTTTATTTCTATACATACACGTTTTTCAATAAAATTAGATCATATTATACACAGAATTTTATATCCTGCTTTTTGTCGTTAATCATATTATTAGCATTTTTGCCATGTCATTAAGTATTGTCAAAGACATAACTCTAAATGGTTATGTACTATGCATCTTATTACCATATCTTAGTTACCACTGCCTATATGTAATAATTTAGATCATTCCCAATTATTTTTATTAATTTTGACAGTGTTGTATCAAACAGTATGCCAAACAAAACATCCTTTGGGTTACACCTGCATGAGCATGGTAACATTTAGAAACAAAGATATTACCTGATCTGTCTTTGTAAGGTAAGTGCTAATTACCAAGCCACCATCACTGTTTATCAGACCTTGACAGCTAAAATTTAAATTTAACCACTAAATGAAGAAAATACTGTGCTTTGTAGAAATTACTGCACTGTAATTCCTAAGTTATGGACTTGAGTGTAGGAAAGAGGCAAGTGACAGGCAAAGGAAACACACCTACCTCTGTTTGCATTAACATAATACACTTAACAGAAAGAGAAGAGGAATCTAACAAGAATGTGGTTATTAAGTTGACAAGGCTCATATCATCCAATTTGTCACTCACAGAGATTCAGGAAATGTAATTCCAGCTACTTTCCTATCTCAGAAACCAAGATTTTAAAAAAAGGAAACCTCATGAAATCAGAAAACTGTCTTGGTCTCATTCATTCTTTTATGTTTGTGTTTTGTATTACTTCAGCAACATAATAATGTGGAAACTTAATAAACACCACTTGATTACACTATCAAAACAGTTTTTAAAAAAGCAGCTTTATTGTGATACAACAGTTTTCTTTTTTACTTGTATGTTTACAGAAAAGCTCTGGAAGGTTACACAAGAAACTGCCTTCATAGAGGGGAACTGAGTGTGTGACAAAGACGAGAGATTTTATTTTCCTATTCTAAACCACGTGAATACATTATCTAGTCAAAATCAAATAGTTCCTTTCTATTGTCTAATGCAAACAAATTTGTGCCACTTTGCCTTGTGTCCTATTTCAACCAACCAGAGATTCTATTAAGAGTATATTAGCTGTTAGAAAACAGGACTGTGAAGGTGTTTTTCCTAAATCTCACTGACTTCAGAAGTGCCCCTTACCTCTAGGTTGAAGAGCATATTAAAGTCAGGAATGCAGACGTGTTTGTCCTCCATTTTCCTGCGCATGTTTTTGATCGCATGGATTGATGTCTCATAATAAAGCTGGGGTCTCCTGCGGAGAGGGAAGTCTTTCACCCAGCTGCAGCAAATCTCGTGTAGCTTGCTGAAGACAGAACGGGCCAATTTCACTGTCTCAATCTCTGTGAAAGAAACACAGAAACCCCCAATGAAGAGCCTTATAAAACTGCTTTTCTCTTGGCTGACTGATAAAGACAGAAGTAGACCACGTTAGTCAAACTCCTCCTTAATAGAAGAATTTCCTTTCTCAAGAGTAATGAAATGTTGCTTCTCAAGAGAGAAAATGACAACCTATCTTGTAGAAAATCAGCCAGCAACTGCACTAAGATAATCCTTATGTCATTTTAACCTCTGGCCAGGGCTGGATCTTTGTCAAGGCTGGATTTTTTCTAGCCCACAAAGTGCTCTGGCCACTGCTATCAAGCGCAGCACTGGTGCACTTTTGGTTGGCTGCCATGGTTATCATCTGGAGAGCTTAGAAGAATGGCTGAACAGTAGTTATCCAGCTAATTGGAATATGAAAGGCCTAGGAGAAACAGATTACTTACAAACTGCAGAAATCCAGAGTTTACCTTGATTACCAGTTGTCTCTGTCTCCCTCTTCCTACCCTCTTCTTTACCTCCTTCCAGTTCCCTAACTTTTCTCTCCTGAACTGATTATAATTTAGAAGTAAATTATGTATCTTTGTTATTTGATGTATTTTTAAGTTAAAGCTTTAGGCAATAACTTAAATAGTTTAGCCAACAAGTTAACAAAGCTCTCTATTTCTCTACGGAAAAAGTACTTAAATTGTCTATGTGTGTGACCTTGGATAAGAAAAAAGAGATAGCAGCAATCAGAGGATTCTTTACTCCTAGACTATTAAGTCTACTACCTGACCTATTAATTGGAGCTGACTAACTGATTTCTGAGGCTGATCTGCATCCCTCAGGGTGTGGACAGATGGGAAAGAAAGCCTTTTAAGCAACATGGAATAGTATTGCCCAGATTGTTTCTCATGTCATTTCCACTCAAGTTGTCCTTTATTCAAGTTGGAGATATTGAAATAACCAAAGGGAGATTAGGTTTTCTCAGGCCAGTGTTTTCAGAGGTTCTTCCTACATCCCAGGTTTAAAAAAAAAAAAATTAGAATTCTTAATTACTTTATCAGATATAGCTTGATAGCCTGAGAAAATGTGTGCCAGATGGGCAATGGCTGTGCATGCCTCCTGAAATATACAACACAAATCTCCAAGAGGGACTGTGTTCTTAGAATGGCCTGGAAACTTACGGGTCTCATTTTATATCCCTTGCCCTCCCATTGCCTAAATCTGTGACTACAGTTACCAGTCTTATTCAAATTTCTTCTAAAACTGACTGTTCAGAAAATGACCTCAAGGTTTTTTTGCTTTTATTCTCATTAACATAATACAGGATGGTAAAGCATGTTTTGTGGCTTTGTCCCATTGACATTTTTCTATAACTGAAAAATGAAGGGCACATTCGAAAGAGAAGAATTTCAAAGCAAATAAAACCTGAGAGGATGTGTATAAGAGGGAAACTGAGGCCAATAGATAACCCAACATTTTGACTGGTTTAAGCAGCTCCAATCGCTCTCTCTTTTTTTAAGCACCAGTTGCCAGAGACTCTTTCAATTACCTGTTTGTATCACTCCAACCCATCTGGACCCTGCATTTGGGTGTGTGTTTGACTCAAACACAATAGAGGATGGCAGAATGATAAATGAATTCAGAAACTTTAAGGGAGAACAGAGTTGGGTGAAACAAATTAACTGATATTAACTATCATGATAGTTACCAAATTCCCAGATAATAATATAAACCATTATATCATTCTTTGATTTGTATATTACTCTTATTATATTGACCTGGATTGCCTAATTAGGTAGCTTCCTACCTTCCTGTAGCTACTTAACTTTAATTAAAATTAAATAAAATTTAAAATTTGATATTTTGGTCCTATCAGCTGTATTTCAAGTGCTCAATAACTACAGGTAGCCAGTGGCTACCACACTGAACAACACGGGTAGAGAACATTTCCATCACTGTGCTGTCTACTGGACAGTGCTGGTGTCAACAAATTAAATTGGTTAGGGGAAACAATACCAGCTTCCGCTAATATTTAGTAAAACACTAGAACTATCCACTACCTCTCCCAATTGGTCCTTCCCTTATCGTCCCCATACACTTTGTTCACATCATCTTTTGTTAGAGGCTCTTATCACAGCCTCTAACAATAGGTAATATTTTGGGGGTAATTTGCTACATTTATGGTCTCCAGAACATTTCACAAACAGGTAAAACCATTCTCAATCCCAGGCTTATTCTGACTCTAACACCCATGCTCTACATTTCCTAAATTAGACTGCATGTAGAAACTTTCTTAATTTTCCTTGATTAGTCATAGTACAGTACCTAGAAGATAGCAGGGTTTATTAGATGTTTATGGAATAAATGAATATGCAAACTTATAAAAATTATATAATCACTAAAATGTTAAAATATTTGTATGCTTCTTGATCATCTAGTCTGCTCCACTGATCTTTCCATCTATTTCTACAATGGTGCCATTCTTTTAAAATTACTATAACTTTATACATAAGAATATCACATGGACTAGCTTTCCTACTTATTATCCTTGATTTTATTTTTTTTTTAAGATTTTATTTCTTTTTAGAGAGGGAAAGGTAGGGAGAAAGAGAAGAGAAAAACATCAACATGCACATCAATTGGTTGCCTCTTGCACGCCCCCAACCGGGGACCTGGGCTTGAACCCAGGCATGTGCGCTGGCTGGGAACTGAACTGGCGACCTTTTGGTTTGCAGGCTGGTGCTCAACCCACTGAGCCATACCAGCCAGGGCGTATTATCCTTAATTTTAAAAGATATCACTTTGCTTTGACATGTTTATTCTTCTGGATGACCTTCTAATTATTTTGCCAGGTTTTAGGGGGGAAATCAGTTGCCATTGTGTTTGGGGTCACACTGAATTGATAAATTTGGGAGAAAATGACTTTTTTTCAAACTGAAGTCTTTTCCAGGAACAAGCTATATTGTTTCACTAATTTAAATCCTTTTTTATATTGCTCAATAGAGTTTTTAACATAGGTCCTTCATATTTCTTAATAAATTTATTCCTAGTTATTTTATTTGCTATTTTGAGTCTTAACTTTGCTTTAATGTGTTATTTGCCACCAAGAAAACATTCCCCTTTCTCCCAGGAATATTCCTTCTCTATTCTCAGTCCATGTGCATCTGGGGGTCCAGCCAATTAGAAAATCATATCCTTGTGCCCATGATTAGTTCAGGAATGGGAAATTAATACAAGCTGGGCTGATTCAAGTAAATCTTGTGACTGATACAGGAGCAACTGAGGAAAGTTGCACTTATTTTCCTCCTTGGTTTGAACCTGGGCAGATAAAGACCTGGTGCTCCTAACAGTTGTCTTGACACTGCAGGGAGCCTGAAAATAAGATCGAAATGAAAGAGAGTACAGCTAAGTTGGATTTTATCAAAGGCTTCTTTAGGCACCTTTAGAGATTATTCTGGTTTTTTTCTTTTGGCTATTAACATATAAATTATGTTGTTCACTACTGTTTCACCAGCACAGTGCTAAGTATATGGTAGGCTCCTAATAAAATACTCATCAAATGAATTAACTGTTGTACTCAATGTTACCAATATTTCACTTTATTTAATATTGGTTACTAAGACTGATCTCTCATTTTCTTTTTAAATTTTGTCTCAGACCTCTAGTCTAAGTTCTGGTATCAATGTTATGTTGTACAAACCTTCCTTTTTCAGAAAATTTAATAATTCATTTTAAAAAGCATTGGAATTATCTGTCTTTGATTGTTTGAAATCGTTCACCTGTAGAATCACCTGCTCCTTGTTCTTCTGAGAAGATAGATAGCTCCTTAACAACTTTCCCAATGTCTTCTCAGGAAAAGTTTGTTAATTTGTATTTTTGTAGAAAATACCCAGGTTTTCAAATTTATTCACACAGTGTTTTAATAATTCTTTTAATTTCCTCTATATTAGTGATCATTTTCCTCTTCCTGTTTCTAATTTTTACATTGGGATATTTCAAATTGTTTTTAGGTTGTCTGGACAGGCATTACATCTGCTAAACTAAGTTTGTACCAACAGATATGCAAGGCTGTTTAGCATACATTCTCTTAGGGATAATATAAACATGAGAAGAACTTTAAGTTAAGGATTTTTTTAAATTATATTTTATTGATTATGCTATTACAGTTGTCCCAATTCTTCCCCCTTTACTCCCCTCCACCCAGCACCTCCCACCCCCTCAGGCAATCCCCCCACCATTGTTCATGTCCATGGGTGATGCTATAAGTTCTTCAGTTACTCCATTTTCCTATGTTGTACTTTACATCCCCATGGCTGTTCTGTGACTACCCAGTTGTACTTCTTAATCCCCTCACCTCTTCACCTGTTCCCCTACACTTCCCTCCCATCCAGCAACCATCAAAATGCTCTCTGTATCCATGGTTCTGTCTCTGTTCGTTTGCTTAGTTTGTTTTTTAAATTCAATTGTTAACAGGTATGTATTTATTGCCATTTTATTGTTCATAGTTTTGATCTTCTTTTCTTAAATAAGTCCCTTTAACATTTCATATAATAATGGTTTGGTAAGGATTTTTTTTTTAAGACAAAAGACATTTCAGTGGGAACTCCAGTGCCTTTAAGCCAGTGACAGCAGGCCTCACTCAGTGTCCTCTTTTCCCACTCTGATATATGGAGAAACACAAAATGCCCTGTAGAGATTCTCCTCAGTTCAGTTCACATTGAGTGATTTGGGTTAAATAGATTAAGGACTTGCAAACAGTCTTGAATTATAACAGATCATTTGAATCACAGAAGTAGCATGGAGACATTACAGGATAATCTCTTGGAAAGACATAAAATCAAAATGACCAAAATACCCACCAAAAGAAAAAAAAAACCATTTCACTTTTGCTATCTTAGGGGGGAGGGGTATCAGAAGTTCTTACAAAGTAGGCATGTAGGGCAACACTTCAATCTTGCTACTTTAAGTGTTCTCCTTCTGCAGAGAATGGTATAGAACATTAGTACATAAATAATTGCTCCTTGAAATGGAAAAATAAAATTTAAAAGAATGTGAAAAAGAGAAAATTGTTCAAAGTAGTAGTCCACCCCCTAACAGGTATAAATTACTCATAAGATTTTTTTTAAACAACTTGGCAGTTTTTCACCTTTTTAAAAGATTTGTTTATTTATTTTTAGAGATGGGAAGGGAGGGAGAAAGAGAGGGAAAGAAACATTGATACTTGAGAAGAATGTTGATTGGATGCCTCCGCACTCCCCCAACGGGCACCTGGTCTGCAATCCAGGCATGTGCCTGACCAGGAATCGAACCAGTAACCTTTCCGTTTGCAGGATGATGCCCAATCCACTGAGCCACACCAGTCAGGGGAATTACTCATAAGTCTTAATGTCACTGTACCGAGCTGGAGCTGAGTCAGCCGTCAGCCTGGCTGCAGTGAAGCTGAACTCAATCTCCCTTTCCTTGTCATTAGAGGCCTTTTACTTCATGCATCAGGAGCACAGGAAAGACCAATGCTTTGTAGCAGGAATTCCATCTGACTTGCCTCTGGAATAATCTGGTTCCAAGTAAATCAATCACTCTTAATAAAAACAAGCAGAGGAATTCCCTCCTCACCAATTCTCTTTCAGAAAAGATTCAGAGAGATAAAGGAAGAACAGGAATGTTTACTGTCTTATCTGCCTAAGAGTCTCTGGATTCTAAGCACTCTGATTCATTAATGTATGCTTTGCTCCTTATGCACCATGTTTAAAGGCAAATGCTTAAAACAGAATAGAATGAAATATTAAAATTACTTAACAATTTTGAGTAGTAATTCCCTAATTTTTATGTCTTTAGAGCCTGTCAAATATGTATAAGTCTAATACATTAATAAATGTGCCTTCTTTAATAAATAGTCTCATAATTTGCCTGGAAAAAAGTACAATCATCCATGCAATTAAATCCCATTTTGCATTACTGTCATAAAGGGCTCTATTTATATAAAATTTAATATAATTAATGAGGTTTCTTGAATTTTTATATGACTTTTTTTCTAACTTGGATTCTTAAAAGTAAGCTAAAAATTTTAAACAGGTTTTGCTCAAACTCTCCTCTCCCTTATTCATCTTTTCTGTTGTCTTTGCATCTCTTGCTTTTTCCATTTATCTAGATATTAATGATAATATCCTTTTATGATATCTTGCTCCGATTACCTTCACATATTTTCAAAATACACCTGTATTCTTCTCACTTTTCCTCCTTTTATTAGTTTGAAAAAAGATTTTTTTGCATTTTTTTCTCTTGCTACCACTATATAATCAATCAGTGGGAAATCATAATTAGAGTATTTGGCAAATATTTTCTGTGGATCACTACACATGAGAAGATTTTAATATTTTCAAACAAATAATGTAAAATGATACTCACCCACAGTCCCTTCTGTGCTATCTGTTTCCTTTGGGATGTAATGCGCAGAAAGATCACTCTGAAGGACTTCATCTGATGTGGCTCTGGCTAAAGCAGCAGCCAAAAAGGAAGGGCAATTACTGAAACACACAAAAAAAGCTATTTCGGTAAGAATTAAGAAACAATACATTTAATGTTATTAATAATTACTCATTAATATATTACCTCGAAGCAAAATTATACCTTTAAACAATATTCAACACATATTTACTGAGTGCACGTTATGAGGCAGGCACTCTGCCTTCGCACTGGGTATATATTCCGGTGAATAACACAGAAATAGAACAAGAAGGGAAAGTAGATATGAAATAGTCCTATCAGAGAATAGGAGGACTGTCAAACAATGCCAAGAGATTATTGGAAGATTGAGAAAATTTTTTAATGAAACCACTCTTTCTTTCTGGTTGTATGATTTTCTCCATCTATGTTCATATGCTGGAACATGTGTAGGTAAAAAGAATTTAGTTCATCAAGATTTGGGGTTTTGCAAGTGAGTACTATAAAGAAGAGACATAGAAATTGAATGTACTCATTTTTAAGGATATGATTAGAATGTTTGACCACAGACTACTGGCTAAGAAAGAATAGACATGAGTTGCAAATCAGTATGATCTAAATGTAACTGAAAAATTGTAGCAAGAGTACTTGAGCATGTAACCTAGAAGCACAGAATGTTGTAGTCTGAGAATAGAATGCTCGCTGATACAACTCTGGAGCTGATGTAATTTTTGTGATAATGACATTTAGGAAAGACCAAGAAAATGAATGATTTAGAACACATCAAGTAACAATGTTTAAGTCTTTTATCTACCTTGAGTTTATTTTTGTGTATGGTCTAAGTTGGTGGTCGAGTTTCATTTTTTTGCATGTAGCTGTCCAGATCTCCCAACGCCATTTGTTGAATGGCTATTTTTACTCTATTTTATGCTTCTTGCCCCCTTTGTCAAATGTTAATTGGCCATAGAGACATGGGTTTATTTCTGGGCGCTCTATTCTGTTACCACTGATCTGTGTGTCTGTTCTTATGTCAGTACCAGACTGTTATGATTACAGTGGCCTTGTAATGTAGTTTCATATCAGGTATTGTGATCCCTCCTACTTTGTTCTTCTTTCTCAAAATTGCTGCAGCTATTGGGGGTCATCTATGGGTCTATATAAATTATTGAAATGTTTGTTCTATATCTGTGAAGTGTGTCATTGGTGTTTTAATAAGGATTGCGCTGAATCTATAAATTGCTTTGAGTAGTATGGACATTTTGATGTTGAACAACAATAAAAAAACCCAAAAAACCAATGTTTATATTCTAAGTCATTAAGGGAAAAAAACTTAGAAAATTCTCTTTATTTTTTATCAGTATTTCTCAAGTTGTAGATTATGATCCATTAGTGGGTAATAAAATCAATTTATGAATTAAAACCAGTATTTTTTAAAAGGAGATATGATAGGGTACATGAGGAAAGGATAAGTATTTCAGATATATATGTAAATATATACTGAATCCTGATCTTAATGAAAAAGAGAATGAAAATGAAAGCCATTGCCCTTTAATAATTATGAAGTAAACTGATGGCACCCTTTGAAATCCAAATGATTTATAAACAGTATTACCATTCCTCCTTTCATACTAAGTTAACTAAATTTTTCCTTATAAGTCAAAATTTTCCTTCATACACCTAAATTGTCAGAATTGCTTGCCTTTACCTTTCAATCACACTTTACTTTTACTGAACACATCCAAATATTTTATCTAAGTGGACTTCATACTAGTAGTATAACATTTACTTGGTCCTTTGGTTTGTTTTAAAATTTATATTTAAAATTATGTGAAAACCTTTACTGTACTCTTGTTTCCCAGAGGATTTTTTAAAGAAAAATATCTTTTGTGTAATTATTAAACTACCTGGATCTAGGTTCACCAAAGATATGACTATGAAAACTTTTCAAGAATAAGGCATGAACCATTAGTCTCATTAGCATGTCATCTACAATACATTTTTAGTCACAGTTAATGTACTTTTTTACTCTTTGTCAGATAGAATGAAAATATTTTCAGTGAAGTAGGGAGGAAGATTAGCTGACTAATAGCTAGATATAAAACATCAAGGTAGATGCTTCACCCACATCAGCTATTCCCTACATGTCAGAGAGCTATCAGCAGAGGAGTACCTGTGGTTTTGACTCTGAATTGAAAGTGATAATTTCTAAAATATCAGAATTGCAAATATATTTTAAAATAGTAACATCAGAGAATATTTGATAAAACTCCAATAAAAGCTTATCATTAAAGTTTGTCATTTTCAAGAGAATTACCAGGAGTGAATAACGTAGTAACATAGCAAACTGCTTTTTTTCATCATTTCTCATTCAGTGCTTGAAAGATCTTGATACAGAAGATTTTAAAGTTAGGCAAATGATTTACATAGCAAATATCAGAGAAGGGCCAATACTCATGGCAATTTTGGGAACTGGGGTTACAAAATGTTATATTGAGAACACTGCTGGAGTATGATTATAAGTTGTTTTTTTTTTAACTTTTGCAGTGTGTCATTTTGGGGGACTGGCTCTTTTGGAGTCAAATTAATATAGTCAGGCCCCTCAAATACAGTCCAAAACTGAGCCTTTGCTATTTGTTAAAAGATATATCTGAGGTGCTTATCATTTCTATCTTCAAATAACTCATATCCTGACAACAAAAGGAAATGTGTTTTCATACCAACTTGTTACTTTGTTTTAGATATAAAAGTGCAGACTTTATATACTTAGATAAAAATAAAATCCTTGTCTAGTTTATGTCCAAGTCACATGTAAACTCTATGTATAACTACCTCTGAACAGTGCTGAAGTATCATTAATAGAGGTCCATTTAATTTTAAAGTTTAGTCACATATACATTCCACTTTATTAAAGCTAGTTATGTTAATGAATACATGAATGTGTATTTGAATTTCTGTGTATACTGACTTTCTCAATGTTATATATTATAAAGCAAAAGTCCAGACTCTATTAAGCTTCATAAACCGAACTCTGTAAACAAGGCACAAATTTTATTTTAAGGTAACAATAGGTGTTCTTCAGACACACACAAAATAATACATAAAACTCAAACTCATGAATATTCTGACTGTTCTTTCTTGCATTGGCTAGTATCACCTTTATCCTTAAAATATTTATCTGTGTAGGTCAACCTTGACTCTTCAATTCTATTTCAAAAATAACCATAGCCCAAAATATGCTTAGTGGAATACTTTGAATTATAAAAATACAACTGCATTCTAATGACCTTCCACAGTTCAGTACTTGTCAATGTTTATATAAATTTTGTTTTATTTTAAATCAGTTTTCTCCCAAATGAGACATTTAAAAAGCCATACAGTATATCTGAGAGCAGTATTTAAGGATGAAGATGTTAAATCACTGTTATGATCTGAAAGTTTATGTCCCCCTCCCTCAAATTCATATGTTGAAATTCTAATCCCCAATAAAATGGTAACTGGAGGTGGGACCTTTGAACAGTAATTGTAGATCATGGGAGTTGGGCCCTCATGAATGGGTTTAGTGCCCTTATAAAAGTGTTCTCACCCCTTAAACCATGTGAAGACAAGGAGAAAACAGTCACCAAAGAACCACAAAGCACACCAGCACTGGACAGCAAATTTGCAGCACCTTGATTTTGGACACTGCAGCCTCCAGAACTGTGAAAAATAAATTTCTACTGTTTATAAGCCATCCAGTCTACAGTAATTTGTATTGCAGGTCAAAGAGACTAAGATAATCATTATGGGAACTACCCAAATCATTATCACGATTAGTGGATAGAGGCCTTATATATGGGTCTTTGTTACCTACAGATACTTTTCTAGGTTTCTTTATTTAATTATTTTCTAATTACAGTTGACATACAATATTATATTAGTTTTAGGTATACAACGTAGCGATTAGGCCTCTATACCTTACAAAGTGATCACTCAAGTAAGTCTAGTAACCATCTGACACATACATAGTTATTACAATATTATTGACCATACACCCCCTGAGGTACTTTATATCCCAGTGATATTTTTATAACTGGAAATTTGTACTTCTTAGTGTCTTTCACTATTTTCAGCCATCACTCCCAACATCTTCCCACCTGGCAACCATTAATTTGTTCTCTGTATCTATAAGTCTGTTTCTGTTTTGTTTGTTCCTTTGTTTTTCAGATTCTGCATTTAACTGAAATATTATGGAATTTGGTCTTTGTCTGACTTATTTCACTTAGCATAATACCCTCCACATCCATTCATGTTGCTGCAAATGGCAAGATTTCATTCTTTTTATGGCTGAGCAATATTCCACTGCATATACAGGGGTGGGGAAAATTAGATATACAGTTCTGAGTATACAAAACACAGTTTATTGTTGTATTATTTATTTGTATTATGTAAACCTACTTTTGCCCGCCCCTGTATGTACCACATCTTCCTTATCCACTCATCTGTTGATAGACATTTAGGTTGCTTCCATATATTGGATATTGTAAATAATGCTTCAATGAACATGGGTGTATGTATCTTTTTGAGTTATTGTTTTGGATTTCTTCAGATAAATACCCAGAAATGGAATTGCTGGGTCACATAGCAGTTCTAGTTTTAATTTTCGGACAAATCTCCATGGTTGCTGCACCAATCTGCGTTCCTACCAACAGTGCATGAGGGTTCCCTTTGTTGATTTATTAATGATAGCCATTTTGACAGGTGTGAGGTGGTATCTCACTGTGGTTTTAATTTGCATTTCCCTAATGATTAGTGATGTTCAACATCTTCTAAAATCTATCTTGTTGGCCATCAGTACCTCCTCTTTGAAGAAGTGTCTGTCTATTCAGGACCTCTGCCAATTTCTTAATCAGATTGGGGGAGGGGGGTTGGTGTTAAATTGTATGAATTTCATGTATTTTGGACACGAACCTCCTATCGGATGTATCACTGGCACATATTTTCTCCCATTCAGGTTTCCTTTTTGTTTTGTTGATGGTTTCCTTTGCTTTAAATTTTTGTTTGTTTGTTTGATATAGTCTCATCTGTTTTTCTTTTGGTTCCCTTC